ACGACTCTATGCTAGTGCACGAAAATGTTCGTAAATTTTAGGTCAGTTGTTATGTTTTCATGCTAACATTCACACGTTCTTCTCATCACACTTTAGGTAATAGATCTACGAAAATATTACAGCCAGGATAGACATAAACTCAACCAGTCCGGGCCATAAACAGCTTTGTCTATACCATGACGTCATGACACATAACGTCGCGGTCCAATCTTTAAAACTTAGGCTAGCCTTAGATTTTAGCCCCGTATTTTTGTTTCTGATAAGCTTGGTAGCATATAGCACTGAATTAGCTTCGCGTCAATAACAGGTTGAATGGCGTCGATTGAAATGTGTGGGAGAAATCACAACTTAAAGTTGAGCTGCGATGACTTATTTGGGACAGATGAGGAGAAACATGCTATCAGTATCATTTAGATTTAAGGTATGTGATTTTTTCTTTTTTTTTTTTTTTTGGAAAAAAAGAAAAATATTGCGGTAAAGCTCCATAGATGTGCTTCCCATTTATGAAAACAGAAGTAAAGTGAACGTTTGTTTAGTCCGCGTGCATGGCCGTAGTTGTTGTGACAAGTTGTCTAAGGAAATTCATCCCAGGAAATAGCGGACGACATTCAAATAAATATGTTATTTAAATAAATATTAAAATAATATCTACCAGGACTCTAAGGAAATTCATCCCAGGAAATTGCAGATGACATAGAAATGAATGTGTTATTTCATCAGTCGCTACCTTCCGCGAAGTGTCCTTTCCACATTACTTCGGAAAGGGATCGAGTCTGATTTTTTCTCGCGGATTTTTCATCGTGAACAAGACTGCCCTTATGTGAAGAAGCTAGAGGGCGCAACAAAAAACCAGCGGCTAAAGTTGGTCGAAGTGTGTTCCTTGAAATTCTGACCTCTTTTGATACGAAACGTTTCTTTTAACATTCATGCGGATATTTCAGATGAGATTGTGGTAAATATGTTATTTGATCGGCCACTACCTTCCACGAGGTGACTTTTAGACATCTCACCTGAATGGGATAGAATTTAATTAAAAACACTGTGAGCAAAATACATGTTCGTGCAACACGTAGCGAGGCGCGGGAATAGAGATGACATGTCTGTCGAAAATGAGATTTGTAGTACAGTAATATAGAAATGAATAACAGATATAAAGTAAATGACGTCTCTTGAAGTTTTGAATTCTGTTCTGCCGTCTCTTTTGCATAACAACAAGGCCGCCACGAGAAAGCTAACAAGAAAAAGTATTGTCCCAATCCTCTCTCGGTCACATCAGCTTGTTTTAGTTTTGTCAAGACCAATCGTATCAAAGGTAATGGTCGAGACAAAACTGTCCATGACCCGGACTGTTACCGATAGTCTCGAGGAGCGTGAATCAGAGGGGAGGGGTTGGGACAAAAGGATGTGTAAACCCAGTAAAAACGTTTTGGCATCAAACTCTTGGTGTTTTTTACATTAGTAACAAGTATTGATTTTACCGTCAAGGTACGCGCCTGATAATGTTCGTCTACGATGGTGGGAGTTCAAAGGTAAAATTATAAAAACGCATGAATACTAAACACACCTTCATATAGTAATTTATGTCTTTCTTTCATTTTTGTTAGTTTTTGTGTTTGCCTCCTTCATTATCGATGCGGTTTGAAAAGCCCTGATGTATATTTTCACCAAATTACGTCTCAGCAGCCAATTTTCCCCTCAGGCGTTGCGTTTCAGGCGCAGAGTGATAAGTTTTTATAGGGTAGCATCCCTAAAATGTCAATAAAACATTAAAAAAAAAGGATGCTTTAGTAAATGGTAGTCTAGCGATGCTTATCAAGGTGAATTTTCAAAAATTGACGAGACTTTTGCCGAGTGTTGACTTACAGAAGTCGTTTCAAAAACTGAAGCTGGGAAAGATCGCGGAACTTTAAGCCAGGTGGAAGGCTTTTGATGTGCGTTAACCTGAAATTTTCCGAAAAGAACAGATGGGAGACTTTAAATATCCTAGCATTTGCATAAAATAATTATCGTTTTAGAAAAAGAGTTGCTAACATTTTTAGTCTATTATAATCAAAGAAAGTTATAATCTAATCTATACAAGTGCACGGGTATTTTCTGCATTTGACACCTTAGAAAGCAATTTTCAAGCCGATAAAATTTATCTTTCTTTTGGTCAAAACAATGCTAACACCTGGTGCTGAGAGTCTTAGCTCTAACTGGTCCGTTATAAATAAACGTTTTCCGAGTTTGGTCGGTACGGTGACAATTGTCGGCTCAGAGATATGCAGCGCTCTATACTTCTTCAGAAATTGGTCGGAATTCCTTGGGAAGGATACCGCTCAGGGGCTCACTAATCGACAACTAAAGAAACCTCTATTATATACCCTGAAACCTGAACTAAGGTTGGTCAAGATGTTAAATGGAACTTTATATCCGGAGATTTTTGTTTTCCTCTTGGCAATTTTTGCGCTGAGTAAGTAAACCGCTATGTTTTCGTTTGTTGTTTGTTTTGTCTTTGTTTTTCACCTTTTAACGATTGGCGAGAGAAAAAAAATTACGCTGAATTCCATAGATTTGACTTTCTGTTCTTTCAGAACTAATAAGCTGGTTATGTTATTTCTTGAAGATCGCAGCTCGAATGACACCGCAAAGAAAAGTCATCCAGTGCCCAGTTGTTCAAAGGGTGGATGCGATAATGTGTTATTATTTTTAAGATAAATGAAATATTGCTTACTCTTTGGGCTTAAAGAGTTAAAACTGCGGGGAATTTACCGAACGTGAACATAGGCGCTTGCCTAGGACTTCCTTACTCGTAAAAAAAAAAAAAGAGCATGAATATAAAACGATTTAAATGTAAATACGATTTAAATGGAAATACTATAATTTCAGGTATCTGTATGAAGATGTAAACGGGGGGCGGCGGATTAAAGATGAAGTCATATTTTGTCGAAAAATCTTCGGACCCCTACCAGAAGCTTCTTAGAAAACGTTTGGAAAATTTCGAAAATTGCAAAATATGTTTTAATATTATTTTACAGAAGGTTCTCGGCTAACCGGAAACAGTTTACCTGGTACCTCAAGGTGTTTGTCGGTCAGTTTGGAATACCTTTAAATGAAAGATAATTGTTAAGCCCAGAAGCTCCAAGCGAATTACTTTGTTCAGTCTTCTCCTGTCCTCTGAACTGAAATCTTAACATTATGAAAGAAGCTTATACCAGATCACGATTAAGAAGCTGAATCTGTTCCTACCCCCCAGGTCCAAGGCTACATGGATAAATAACTAACTACAGTATTGTGCAAAAGTAATGCAAACGGAATTCGGCGAATTTCGTTATTTGTTTTAACGATCTTTCGTCGAAAGTTCGAACGAAAATTCGATCGAAAGTTCGAGGCCTGTTAAGCGACATTTCGTTTGAACAAAGGACGCTTTTTCGTTGAATTTTCGCCACGAAGCGAAAATTCGTGGCGGAAAGTGTCTCTTCGATCATTAGTGTTCGAAATTTTGCTTCGAACTGACAGTAGCCTTCTGCGAGAGATCAAGTTTGTTTACTGGTCATGTAAGCAACACGAAATGTTTTTAAACGTCTTTCCAACCTTTTTCAGTCACCACGACAGAGACACTTAATATCTGAAACTAAATACAGGAGACTAGAGGACTAAACATCAAAAAGTCATCACGTCCGATTCTGGACTCGATCTGTGGAAAGACAACGAAAATCGGGTAAATTGTCCTAAGCGTCTTACAGTAATTCCGACTATGATACATGTACCTGGCTGAAATTCTCTGTCAGACGAATTCAGATATTATGCACATCAGCCTAAACCACCATATCATATTCAGTGTTCGATCAGTTTACAACAACAAAAGTAAATCGGGATGAATAGCAATTGCGACCAAGAGACATTTATTTGGTGGAAATAAACTCTCAAATGATTGGAATAATTTTTAACATTAACTTCAGGACTCCGCTTTTAAACCAGACAGAGCAGAGAACGTGATTAGAGTGTTTTCAAACGTTTTCAATCGAGAAATGTGTTCCTTGTTTATTCGTTCTCAATCGCTACGCAAATAGACAGCACCCATATCGCTGATTGCTTTCCAAATATCATTATATCCATGTTTTTTTGGAAATATTCATTATATATATATATATATATATATATATATACATATAAAACGCGAGCTTCAGAGCGCGTGTAGTATTTTAGCATTCAAGCGTTCTTTGTTCGTTTTGATCCTACACAATCAGACGCTAATAAAAGTGTGTGAAACAAAGGGTGTGAAATACTTTACGTTTCGCAACAAAAAACTGAATATTATTAAGTGATGGCTGAAACAACTATTATTTAGGTCACGCCGAAAGTTCGAGCCGTTTAAAACAATACATGCCTCGAAAATTCGCGGAAATATCGTCAAAGTTTCGTTTCGGTCAAGAATTCGTCGAAAAGCTAGGAATTTCGTCGAATTTCGTCGACAGGTGTTTGCATTACTTTTGCACAATACTGTACCCTGAATTTTTTTTCAAACATAAATGGAAGAAACTGGCATACAAGCTATCGAAGGCGAAAAAAATCAAAGATGAACGTGAGTGCTTGATGAATGAAATACGAAATATTCCTGTAATCTTCGAAACTTTCCGAATATTTTTCAACGGCTTGTTTTCGGCAGTTATTGTAATATTTATTTAACATCATCGTTGATGTTTTAATTAACTACTGTTTCCTTCATGTTACCTCATTACAATTCGTTTTCAGAGGCGTCCTCAGGAAGTCGGTGCTCGCTTAAGGCTGGGTTTAGTATAGTATCCAATCCAGCCAAACCTCTACTGAGCGAAGGCTCATGTTCTTGTCATATGGATAAAGACCACATTCGTTGCTCGTCGAGTGTCAATAACCAAGATTGGCAATTACAATGTTGGAAATCCACAGTATGTTCACCTGAAACGTGCTACAAATGTAATCTGGAAAGAACGGAAATTACCATCTGTTGTGATGGCGTTTTAAAAATAGATAGAGGTAACATGTCTTCTATATTTACTTGCAACGAGACAGGGTGTCCGCAGAACTCCGAAAGCAGGAAAACTGGTAGGTATCACAAAAATACAACAGCAACCCTAAATCTTAACAGTCAACAAATTTTGATTTCCGCAAGTTTCCTAGGTTTATTGACTCAAAAAATGATTGCATTAAACTTTGTGAGTCTTCAACCTTAGAATAATTAATATTCTCGTAAACTAAAACCTAATGCCATGCTTTTTTTAGGGCCTAGAACATCCTCCTTATCAACAGTGTCAAAAGTAGCAACGCCAATTACGACATCATTGGCATTAGCATTATCGTCGGAAGCTGTAACACTTCCTCCCACATCCTCGTCATCAATAGTATCAAGAGTGGCAACACTAATAACAAAATCATCGTCATCAGCATTATCATCGTCAGGAGGAGAAGATTCTCCAACATCGTGGTCATCAACAATATCAAGAGTGGCAACGCCAATAACAGCGTCATCGTCGGCAGCAGAAATAATTTCTTCAACATCTTTGTCATCACCATCACCAACACCAGTGTTTTCTTCAGCACCATCTTTAACATCATCGCCATCACCACCACAAAAGCTGGTAATTTTTATTTATCTATCTATCGTAATATAATTTGTTTTCTCATTTTCCAAGTCTTTTTATGGTTTACATACCTAACTGGCATTTCTTGGTCTCAGGCAAATGATGCTGTTTCAGAGCTCCATAGCCTTAATATCACCAGCAACAATTCCTTACAAGTAGGTGGTTTCACTAATAATATAAAACGCCATCTTTTAAATCTAAAAGTGCAACGAAAGAGCAGCTGCAAGCTTGGAATCGATTTGAAGGTGGTATAAAAAATAATACGTACGCGCAAAAATTTCCACGCAATGATAAAATATCTTCTACCTTTAGTTGTAGAGTGATTAGCACCCGAAACATATTCTAAGTGATCTTTTCCTTCCCTTTTCTTGATGAAAAAAGCCTTACTCTCAGAGGAACGATTGAAAAACATATATTTTATGACATATCAGAAAGTTATATATACGGACTTGCCCAAAACGAGAAAATCTTATCCAGCATTATTTTTGCGATAGTTGATGCTTCTAAACCGAAAGCGCCTCTTAATGCTGCATTTGCCAATTATCCAAGAATTAATTTACATCTCATTGCGATGAATCTTGGAAAAGGTATACAAACTAAATAATGTGTACTTTATGAACTTACAGGAAGCTGCAAATGTGTTTGAAAACTTCACCACCAAATATCGGAATATGACCCTCGGAGAAGAACAGCACAGAGTAGATAAGCTCAGAAGTGAGACTATTTTTAAGGTGGCAGTCGCCTTCGAGAAAGTTGTTCTTAGTTATGGCAAATACCATCTAAGTGGAACAAGGAGTTCAAAAAGGATCGTTCGCGACAACATATGTGAGCATTTTCATGGCTGTCGTTTCAGATTTGTGACAATCGATCGTTTGTTCAGTAGCTGTCTGACTAATTGAGAGAGTAACTGAATAACTAACTTTTCGACTTACTGACTGACTGGCTGACAGTGACTGACTGTCTCTCTGAAGCTCTGGGAGATTGAATGAGTAACTGATTTAATGACAGAAAAAAAGAAAAAAACTGAATGAATTTTGTTTGTTAATTTCACAAATCTGACCGTCACTTATTATATCAAAATAATTCTTTCCTTTCTTTCGAAAGTCCTTGGTATTCAAAAAGGTTACAGACAAAATGCAAGTAACTTCTATCTGGAGAAACACGAATGGCAAGCATCTATCAATATTTCCTCTGGGAATTTTGCTGACAATGGTTTGTATACACTGCTGTTATCTTTTTACGTTCAATACCCGTTAACTCTTTGACTCATCAGTGTCTCATTAAATTGCCATCCAAGTTGTTTTGATGAACTCGTATCTGTATAGCATCTTCAAGAGAGTACAATCATTGGAAACTTACATTGGCCGACATTTAACCTACGTTAAATTTTGCTCTGCTCTCTTTTAGGATCAGTAATAGTTGGGTGTGTGTACAAGGATCTACATGATTTAATCCAGAAAGGTCATGATAAAACAAGGTACGTGGATGGCTTAAATATCTAATTTATCTAGCTGCTAGTAAGAAGATAGTTTTTATGCACTATAGACATAGTTTCGAAGAATAAATTTTTTAAAATATTTATTTTCCAATCGTGCACCCCTCCGTCCGACTTCATAAAAAAACCCCATGGATGGAAAATTGAAATAGCAGAAACGTGAAACTGTAAGTAGACACCACCATTATTTTATATTTACCCTTATGATTTTTTTTTCTGTCCCGCTGAAATAAACAAACGAAAGTGGACGAGGTAAAGAACACTATTAGTCTCATTGCTTAATTAACTAAATGTTATACTTGAGGTACGTTTCGCTAAAAGAATCACTATGGGCGTGATGATCTAATCAAGGTGTCAGGCTCCCAGTCTGAGCTTCCCCAAATTTAAGCTGGTGTAATATATTTAATGCATCCTAAAAATTAACTTTTATGGTCACACTGGTAAATTAAAGCTGCTAGCCGGTCATTACCCACCCAGTGAACCAAAAATATGACCGCTGTTTATTTCCATTTTAATTAATATACTTGCATTGGCGTATGTTAATGTGCTTTTCACTGAAGCTGAGCCGGTCAACGGGAACACGAGTGACACGTTTGGCGACGAGAAACTTGATGAGAGTAAAAAACGTTACCTGTCATTGGCGCTTCGCCAAAAGTTTGCTTCGCCGTCTTTTGATTCACAATGGGATGCCACGCGTGTGAGATAAATTCTAAAGAGAGCAAAAGAAGGACTACAATTAAGAGACTAAAAACACTGACATGTAATTTTATAATTCGACTTACTCTTGACATCGTTGATTCATATTATGGTACAGAATGTTGTATGTTTACAATTTTTTTGCGAGCGAGAGAGTAAGATTACTCTTCTCAAATTAATTCAAGGGGAGCAGAATTTTCTTAACAGTTTTTGGTCGATTTTTTTCGAACCGGCATCTCTTTCATAATCAGCAAACAGGTCAGTCCGGCAATCGAATGATCGATTGACAAAACTTTATTGTGAGTTCGACTATGTTCGACTGAGTTTGGCAATCGAACTATTGCTGTTCGAATAGGTCGGATTTCCGAACGTTCCATCAGATATCTCTTGTATTTCGATCCATCGTGGTACTTCACAAGACGCAATGTTATAACAGATGTTTCTCAAATATGTTCGAGACGATATTATTTGAATGCCTTTCATTGCGCTCTTAAGTTCAATGAAAAGTTCTCTTTCCGATTTTTTTTTTCATATTGAATTCTTCGCTCTTTTTATTTCACTGCTGTTGAAACACGTTTATTTGTTTACCGTGTTGTCTGAATTGAGTTTAAGGCATGTGACTGAGCGCGTGACTAAGCGCATGAGTACCATTTGCTCAAAGTTTCGTAGCACTCTCGGAAACAAAGAGTCAGCCGAAAATAACATTATATCTCACTTTTGGTTTTGTTTACCCTCCCGTAAAACAATCAGTAAACAATCGAACAATTGCTGTTTGAATTGGTCGGATTTCCGAACGTTCGATTAGACATCTCTTGTATTTTGCTCCATTGTAGTACTTCAGAAGACGCAATGTGCTAACAGATGTTTCTCAAAGATATTCGAGACAATATTCTTACCATGTCTTTCACTACGCTTTCAAGTTCAATGAAAACTTCCCTTTCCGAATTTTCTTTTTCATCCTGAACCCTTCGAAGTTCTTTTTTTTATTATTATTATTATTATTATTTTGTTTTCGATTCGTTGCTGTCGAAAAAGTTTATTTCTTTACTGCGTTAATTTAATTGAATTCATTATAAGGGATGTGACTGGCTGCCATTCGCTTGAGTTCCATAGCGCTATCGGAAACAAAGAGTCAGTCGAAAATAATATTATTTCTCACTTTCGGTTTTATTTACCCTCCCCCTTAAAATCGCCTTGGCCATCCGTGATGCAGCACATTTCCCCAAAACATTTTTTTGGCCGTTCATGGCTCTATGTTACGCCGATTTATGAATATCTTGGACACGTTGAGTTGTTTATGCTATCGATGCAATTCGTTCCGGCGCTTGTTTGGATTTTGTGCTCCTCCGTATGAACCATATAATTGAAGTGTCTGCTTCAAATACTTAAAACTTGTTTGTGGCCAAATGTTTCATGCAACTTTGTTTTTGTGATCAGGAGGAAGTTGATAATTATAAAATATTGCTACGAGCTTCGGTTTTTAAAATTGACCCCGTAGTATTACAGCAAGAATGAGAGTACATTGACTGTGTAATTATTACTCCAGCTTTACGTTAGTTAACATTCGTGCTGCACAATAAGTTACACGGTAGCGGGCTGTGTCCGGTCACACGCTAGCTTTTGTATTCGATGGTTGACACACCTTGCGTGTTTGCCTACTCACGCTTCATTGCTCAACGGCGCACGCTCGATTGTTTGTAGTTTGTTATATGAAAGAATAGCATACATAAGCTCATTAAAGAGTGCTCTAGCGTGCTAAGCAAGCGTGTTATAGCCAGTTTCTTTTGTTTTCAAGTGGAATCGTGTTGAGAGCGTGCTATCACCTTTGTCCCTTAAATCATATGGAGGGTCACGTATGCAGTAATTTGTTTACTCGTTTAGGCATGTGGTAACTAGGATTATGATGGCTGCTATGGATCCCAAACCAGAAAAGTTACAAGAAAATGTAATCTTGAAGTTCCGGAACCTAAAGGTAATAACGAAAGCAAAATTAAATTCATTCGGTTCAGTTTAGATCAGTTTCAGTTTGAATAAGTTCAGTCTCAGTTGATGCATCATTTCAAATGATTTAACTTGAATCTTCTTTCAGAATGACCCAAATGAGAAGCATTGCATGTTCTGGAGTGGCCTCAGCAATAGGTAAAACGGAAAAAAAACTGACATCACCATCACAAACAATAACATGACACAAAATAAACCATTGTTCCATCCTTTTTTCTGAATTGATTGAATTTCGAATTGCAAAGAAGAATTAACATTATCGATCACAAGTTCGCCTAACGGTCCAACTGGTGGGAGTGGTCTTGAAAAGAAGTGCGATCTGTGGTTGTTGATAATAAAGAACGTTTCCTCAACAAGAGCAGAAGTCTTAGCGTTAAGTTTTTACAAGATACTAATGAAGGAACTGTACTTTGTAGAAAGTAGAGTTTACCTTGATTTCCTGCATCGGTTATCACCCCAACTTACTCTTGTTTCGGAGTGATGAACTCAAAATCCATCAAAGCCAAAATGCAAGCGTGACGTTAAAAAGGGACAAATAACCAACAAATAACTTACCAACTCTGAATCCAATCTTCGATATCCAACCGGCTTAAGTGAACAATCGTTATATTTTTCAGTCAAGATGGATTTCTGAAAGATGGATGTCATGTAGTTACATCCCAAAGCAACTCAGAAGAAACAGCCTGCAGCTGCAATCATTTGACTCATTTTGCTGTCTTAGTTGACTACAGAAGTGACACTGTGGTATTACGTTTTGAAATATTTTTTTAAGCATTACTCGTATGTTCATTAAATTGATAAAGATTTTTTTCCTTCTGTTTCTGATTTGTTACACAGCTGTCCCAGAAGGACGAAGATATCCTGGAGATTATCACCTACCTAGGATTAAGCCTTTCCATCATCGGAACGATTCTAACTATAATCATGTATTCCTTGTTCGCGTGAGTAATCAATATCAAGTTTCTTATGCCTTTGATTGGTTGAAACTATCAAAGAAATATATAGAAATAACCGTGGTATATTTTTTTCTTAAATTAGAGATGTTCATGAACCTCTCCCTCAAATACGACTGAGTCTCGCCGCATCGCTCGGTGCTGGTCAAATGAGCTTTTTCGCTGGAATGCACGCCATGGATAACCCAGTAAGTGACTTCTACTCACATCCACATTAATTAATCTTTTTACTGGCCTCACCATCAACATTATCAGGACCTTTTTAAAAATATTTTGGTATCTATTGCGAATTTGAAATTTATTAGATAAAATTATTTTAAATTTTTAAAATTTATGAAGAACTAGAAAAGAAAAGAACAGGAAGATCGTTTTTTCCTTTTTTTGCAGGTCATTTGCATCACAGCAGCAGTTCTTACACAGTATTTCCTGATGGCTGCTTTCTGCTGGATGCTAGTGGAAGGAATCTACTTTTACTTGTTTATTGTGAAAGTTTACAACATCAGCAATAGGTTGATAGTGTATCACGTCATGGCATGGGGTATTCTCCTTTAATCTATAATGACTTTTCTTATTTTTAATGCTGATTTACCGTACTTTGAATGGATTTATTGCTGATATGATTTCCCGCGAACTTTGACCTCCCCCTTCTCTTTGTGTGTGAAGGTATCCCCGTCATTATGGTCATCACTTCTCTCAGCATCGCAATTGGAAAAGGAGGGATTCAAAGCTACACCAGCAATAAATAGTAAGAAACAAAGTTTTCGTTAACTTTACCTCCTGTTTAGTTTCCTCTCCCTGTTTTGGTTTATCTCTGATTTGGGTTTCCTTTTTTTTTTTTTTTTT